CACATACCGGGACCTCATACAAGCGATCCGCCGGCTCTATAGCCGGCGGATCGCTTGTATGTTAACAGGCATCGCTGCCTGTTTTTACATTTTAGGACTTTCCCGCACGAGGGGGCGTGGCTAAACGGACGTCTAAAGTGGTTAAAGAATGTCCAGATTCTTAGTCAATGGGCTAAAACAACCACAGTATACAAGTTCTCATTAGGTACATGCTTGTGTTATGTTTCTAAAACAACAGTCTTTTTATCTTTTCATTGTGTTATATATAAATATATTTGTATTGAATTATTTATTTTAAGGATATGGATATTGACGAAATACAAGATGTAACTGAGGAGATGTTTGAAAAGGAAGAAAAGAAGATTGTAAAAGATGAAAAGCCGAGGGCACGTTCTAAATCACGATCAAGGTTTCATACTTTACGTCATTACACTATAAGAAAGTTGACTGTTTGGATGAAGTTTGTCTTAAAAAATGAAAGTTTGGAATGATAGCAGTAGGCCAAAATAAGTGTGTACCCCCTGAGTTCTTTGGAGGACGCAATTAACTCTGGATTTGCATAGTGTCCAAAACTCCTAGAGGTACCAGCTATGCTTACACATTGAAAAATGTGTCTTGTGTCCTCTTAGGATCTACTGGAAAAAGATTTGACAGTGATTTTAAATAAAAACTTTTTTTATAAAGGAAAAACATATGCTGTTCTACTCTGTAGCAGTAAATTAGGATACCCAAGGCTTATTGTTGTCATCTGATCTCACGGTATAGCTCATCTGTCCGTAGAGTACGACCACAAGTTAGGCATCAGAAACTTAGGTACAGTGCCATGGCGCTCCCACATTCAAGTTAAAGGAGAACTATGGGGTCAGTTTTTTCCCCATAGTTCTCCTTAGGGTAACGGGAGGACACAAACTAGCGTCCTCCCGTTACCCTAAGCTCAGTATACCGCGAGCTACAGCTCGCGGTATACTGAGACGCCGGAGCGGATCCCGACATGGACGTCGAGATCCGCCCAGCTGCGTGAGTGACAGCTGGCTCTGCCTATCTAGAGGCAGATCCAGCTGTACCCGCCCGCCTCCCCTGTCCGTTCTGCCAGTCAGAGCTGGCAGATCGGAGCGGGGAGAGGGGAATCCAGCCCCTCCCCCTGTCACAGCAGAGAGCCGTCATCATTTTGTATTTACTGTTCCACCTGTAAAGCCTGGTAAAAAGATCAGGTGCTTTCCTGTATGGGGGAACACGTGGCCCTCTTCCCTGCTTCTTATGGTGTAGCAATTGGTACCTAAGCAGCCAGTTCCTAAGACTAAACATTGTCACTTAACCCAAAGCTTCACTATTTTTCTCAGTAGCAAGAAATTCAGTGGAAGTGAAAAATGGTCCTCGATGAGCTTCTAGTATATAAAACAAGCTTATTTATGTGAATATTACCCACAATCATTGCCTATTTAAATTTTTTGCATATTTTTATTTTCTTCCCCCCCCTTTGAAAGATCACCTAGGAAAAGACGTTCAAGATCCCGATCTGGATCAAGAAAGCGCAAGCACAGAAAACGTTCTCGCTCCAAGTCAAGGGAAAGAAAGCGAAAGACCTCGCGCTCCTACTCAAGTGAGAGAAGAGCTCGAGAACGAGAAAAAGAACGTCAGAAAAAGGGTCTGCCTCCTATTCGGTCCAAAACTCTCAGTGGTAAGCATTCACTTTTTTATTGAATTGTTTTATACAAAAGTCTGAGAGTTACACATATAGATGCATGCAATTTTATATTGTGAAACAAATGGCACGTTTTAACGTATGTGTTTTGACCATTCTCAGTGTGCAGTACTACACTCTGGGTTGGACAGGTTGACAAAAAGGCAACACAACAAGATTTGACCAATGTGTTTGAAGAGTTTGGACAGATTGAATCTATTAATGTAAGTAAACACTTTTTCCAGTTTAGAAACTACTTGTTTTGTCCATAACATGATTTTGACCAAGAATAAAGGGCATCAAGAATTGCAGATAACTTGAACTGTAATGGCATGAGGCCTT